AAGACGGTTTCTTTTATAACGAACTTTAGGCTTTGGTTTAGTTTCATTACAACATCATCTGTTCTTTTCTTTGTAACCATATTGGAGTGATGTTCTTTCGTCTTCCGCTCAATACTAGATATGATAAATTTAATGTCCACACAGACATATAGAAAACAACCATATATGTATATATTTGTGATTGTACAGCTATGAAAACGAATTCGTCGGCAAAAAGAGACTCTTCGCTAAACTACTGGTTTCCTGTCTAATGATGTTTGAATGGGAATTTTTCATGAAAGTGATATGTATCCACATGATGTGTGTGTTTGTTTTTGACAGTCTATTATATTTTGCTATGTGTATATGGATAGATATTCCATTATAACTGACAATATGCTTTTGTCTGTCCACTAACTAAATAAACATGTATGATCTTGTTATCATATGACATTACAACCAATCATGGTAAGATGACTGTCTATTGGTTCATGTGTATTAGCCATTTTCATATATACTTTGCATTGTACACTTTATATATATATATATTTTTGGTTCATACTTGTTCGTATATATCGTACCATCTCACTCACACACTTGTGTGACATTTATTTTCCTTGTCTGGAAAAAATACAAGTATCATCGTAAACCTGGTGGTCTTCTGATTTCCCTCTTTCCGCGTCAGGACTATTAACTACTCGACGAGTACACAACATAATTGGCGACGGGGAAAACTACGATTAATTACTCAGCAGCAGTAGACATCAGAAAGAAAAGTAATTGTTCATAAATACAGGAGACAAGGCTTAAAATATCTTTAATAACCACTGGCAACTATGCGAACCTTCACACCAACCGAAGCAATGAGCATTACTCACAATAATCATAATAATAATAATAAATATTAGTAAAAAGGGGACAACTACAAATTAAATGTGTGCAAACATTACCAAATGATTGATCGCGATCATAATTTTAAATCTCCAATTTATACGTATAAATATATATTCCGTTAACTTTCACTGAAGTTTTACAAATAATTCAGGCAAAAATTTTATTTTCAACTGCCTTGAGAAGTATATATATATATGTGCGTTTTTGTAGATATGCATTATAGAGATAAGTAAGGTGTAACGCAAAAGATTTAAAAAATCAATACTTAAATCCATACAAACACTCACATACGCACACACACACACACATACATATGCACAAAAAGTACACACACACGTACACTTGTGTACAACTATACTCACAAATAATCCACATGAGATTACAATCTTTTTTTCTAAACTTGACGACAAATCATCACACTACTAAGTGATGATAGTAAATTAAATACACCTAGGAGGGATATTCTTTCTAAAAATTGATGAACGTTTCTTCTTGAGTAGATCTTTGTGTACATGTGTATTTGCATGTACGTGTGTATGCGTCTGTGTGTGAGGGAGGGAGAAAACGTCTTGTATTAGAGCACATGCCTTGTTGTACACATACAAATATGCTCGGTATTTTACGAAACAGCCGAGAAACCAATACACCACGCGAACGACTCATTATCAACACACATGAAATACAAAATATGTCATCAAAATAATATATGACAAAATCAACAGAATAAAAAAAATGCACAAGATTTACACACATAAACTTGTGATACTACTGATTATAGGTTATTATCAGTAATAAATATCTTACCATAGAAAAATGACAGCAACAGAAAATGTACACATTTACATTACTAATGACATTGACGCGCTGACACACACACACACACAAATTGAAATTGATAATCAAATAGAAATAATTTCATTTAATCAATCAATCAATCATAAGGCGGCATGCTTGAACATAGGGCTACCAAAAATTCCACCTTACAACATTTTGCAAAATTGCTTTGGTTTGCTCTTTTAATTTTGTTTTAATTTATCAATAATGTGTCCTAATCGTATTATATATAATCGCGCATTTTTAAAATCATTACAACCTACCGCGTTGTGTCATCCACAAAAATTGAGAAAAAAGCATCACTGTGGCTGGCAGCGTGCACTGAAACGTACACAAATTAATCAAATGACTGTTCCTGAACTCGTTAGCACTAATTGTAGATCCCTGTCCAACAAAATGGATTATCTTCAATCCCTAATGTATTCCAATGTTTATCGAAATGCTGGCGTTTTAGCAATACAAGAGACTTGGCTGCACCAGCATTATGATGATAATCTAGTTTCAATAAATGGATATAAAGTTTTTCGCCAAGATAGAAATAGTTCCAAGAAAAAATATGGAGGAGGGGTAGCCACATTTATAAACACAAGTTGGTCTACATCAAATCACGTTTGCTTCAATTATTCTAATGACAATATAGATTGCATAACCGTCAGGTGTCGCCCAAAACACTTAAGTAAATATTCTTATATATACATAACAAATATTTACATAACACCCAATTGTAGCCTTTCTAATATAGTTATGTTTGCAGATGAGTTTACTGAATTCGCTGCTCCTGCATTCGGAAACTCGTTGTCTATAGTCTGTGGTGATTTTAATTCATGTGATCACAGCTTTCTTACTTCGCTTGGTCATGAGAATCTAGTCAAGTTTAATACACGTCTGGACAAATCACTAGACCTGGTTTTCATAAATGACCGTGATGTATATGAAACCCGAAGGAGAGCTCCTTTGCTAAATTCTGACCACTGCATTATTCGTATTTTACCGAAAGTGTACGGCAAGTTACAACGAAAATTGTTTAGTCATTTAACAAAGAAGATACATGAACGTTCATATTCCCATGACAACATTCTAGCATTAAGAAGCATGTTGCATGATACCAACTGGGAACTATTTACTGACGATAAGTTGGATGCTACTGTCTCTAATATAACCGATTATCTGAAGTTTTGTTTGGAATTTGCTGTCCATATGAAACACTGTTTTCGAGATTTGACAGAATCTCTTCTTTGCAACTGAAAAAACTTAGAAGACAAAAAGAGAAGTTGTATAAGAATTGTGATAATACTGGTGTCCGTAAAATAAACACCCTTATAAAAATTGAAATAGAAAGGTTGAACAGACTATATAATGAAAAATTTTTATCATGTAAAAATCCTTCAAACATTTGGAAACTTTTCAATAAACTTACAAGTAAAAAACAAATGTCCGTTGATGCTTATTCTGATGTTAATGCTTTAAACAAATCATTTATCAAGAAACAAATTAATATGGTTGTACCTGATGTACCTAGTCAAGAAAATGGTCATTTTCAGGGTTTTAAAGAAAAGGATGTACTATTATGTTTGAAGTCATTAAATCCAACACACAGCCTTGGTCCAGATGGTGTACCAAGCATTCTTCTTCAAAAGTGTGCAGACATCTTGTGTCATCCTCTTACTCAAATCTTTAACGCATCATTTAACAGGGAAACGGTACCTGCTGACTGGAAAGAAATCAAGGTTGTACCTGTACAGAAATCATCTTCTGGAGCAGGTATAAAGTTTAGACCGGTCGCTATAACATCTCCTTTTTTGAAAACTATGGAGAAACTTCTTTTGAATATTCTTAAACCTTCTTTAAAAGCTTTTAGTGACCCTAAGCAGTTTGCTTATAAGTGTGGAAGAAGTACATTAGATGCAGCCATTGTACTACACCACAATATTGTTTCCTGCCTTGATAAGGGCGCTAAGTTCGTTCGAACAGCTTTTTAGACTATACTGCAGCTTTCGACTCTGTTCCTAGGACACTTTTATTAGGAAAGATGATTTCAGCACAAACAGAGTCCTGGGCAACTAGATGGCTGTCTTCTTATTTTAAGGATAGGAAACAGCATACTGTTTTGGCTGGAAAGCGCTCCACTTCCCAGCTAACTGAAAGTGGTGTGCCTCAAGGTGCAGTACTTTCTCCATTTCTTTTCTCTTTCTTTTGCATGACCTTCCGAACTCACCCAAAGTTAACTTCATTAAGTATGCTGATGATCTGACCGTTTCTGTCCCTGTAGTTTCCACATCGGATTGTTCCCATATGAATGGCTTCTAGCTGAAGTTAAGGATTGGTCTGGCTCAAATGGTCTTAAACTAAATCCAACTAAATGTAACACTGTTGATTTCAGCTTGAGAAGTGAAAAAGACATGCATGGATTGATTCAATCTCATGATTGTTGTAATATTGATGGTACCATGATAGAGAGTAAGTCAAGTGTTTCTTATCTTGGCATTAGTTTCTCTTCAAACCTTTGCTGGTCGTCTCATATTCTTATAGTTTCTAAGAAAGTTTTCCGTCTGACTTATTACATAAAGAAGTTGAGACACTCAGGTATAACTCAATCTCTTATCATACAATTTATTAATTCATGTGTTTTGCCCATCATTCTTTATTGTTCTCCATTATTCTTCCCTGGGCTACTCAAGAAAGACATATAATACTACGAAGAACATTGAGGGCTGTAAGTAGGGTCAGTGCTATCCCTTTGACTGAACTAAATGACACTGTTGTCAATAGGCATATGAATTCTTGTAAACACTTAGCTAAAGTTATCTTATCTGATAGTGAACATCCTCTTTATTCACAATTGTTTCCTTGTATCTCTTCGGGTAAGACCAGAAGAAATTTTATAAACATTTATGCTCGTACTACAAAATATAAAAATTCGACCGTTCCATATTTGGCACGAGTATTGTGTGAAGAGACAAATATCAGAAAAGAACTTTTACAACTTTTGAATCAATAACTAAACTATAAAATGAAATGATGCATATTAATGCATGTGTTATTTGTTATATTATTTATTTATTATTCACTATGACCTAGAAATGGTGTGATTTTGTTGGGTTTTTTTTTTAATTTTTTCCTATTAACTATCAATATTTTAACATTTTATACATTTATATAATTATAAACAGAGCTAAACCATTGCAATATGTAAAAGAAACGCTGAAAATTCCATGCTGTAAATTGTTATTGTTGTGGAATAAAGTGATTATTATTATATTATTAAAAAAAAGACTAATTGATTAATTGCTTACTTCGATTACGTAAACCAGTCTCTGGATTTAAATAGGGCATATATTTTTCAAGTAATCGGAGTCCATCCTCTTTATATCGATCGTATGTGTGCTCACAGTAGACTAAATTGAGGTAAAGCCAAACATTAAACAGAATTAAGAGTAAATCAAAAAGAGAAAATGATGGAATATTTTTATTGATTAAGTGTATTATTTTTGGGTATGACAGGTGAGTTTGTGTGTGTGTGTGTGCGGCGGGAGTGGGGTGGACAATTAATCGATTGAAATGTATGTCTCATATTATCATTTTATAGGTGTTAATCTAATCAATAAATAAGGTTGCAGCTTTGTAATCATTAAAAAAAGTGACGGATGATCCGTTGACTATTATGTGAGAATGAAACACTTCAATCAGCCTACAACTTGGTGCCGATTGTATGTAAATGCTGAGTAATTGAGTAATTCAACTACTCTAACTGTAAACGCGGAGAGAGAGCGGGGGGGGGGCAAGAATAGCGCAATCGAAATATTTTATTTATTTTTTCTACCTTTTTCACTTTCAGGTTCCGTTGAGACACAGAGAAACAGTTTTCGACTTTCGTGTGGACACCATGTTCAAAGCCACTTTCACAAATATTTTACAATGAATTTCTCAAAATATCTATTTAACAACAGAAGACAAGGGCCAGGCAACAGATTATTTATCAAGGAAATTAACACCTATTTATAGATTTTCATGTACATTATTATAGATTATTGTTAGCAGAAAAACACAGTCTTTTGACTGGTTGTTTCTCACTGAAAGTTAACCTTGCATCTCTTTTTGGCTGTTTTTTTTGAATGTCAGATCATCTATATGTTAACTGTGTCCGCCTACGCGAAGTCTTTGTTGTCATTTTTCTCACGACTAATATTGGGGACATAAACATTGACGTAAATTACTAACCACACATTTTGACTAACAGCCAGCTCTCACCACAACTTCAATGACCTTCAATGTGAATGGCTGTCTACTTCCACTACAGAAGAAAAAGCCACTAATGACATTGGTTTGCTGCCCTGCTATTTATCATGAAGTGGCAGGGATTAGAACTGACGGGTCATTGGGTTCTATCCCAGTGGCAGAATGGTCAAAATGCTCACCTTATAATTTGAAGGTCTTGGATTGGATCCATGTTTGGATCGTGGGTGCGTACCGCTGAAGAATTCAGGTTTATAAGCAAATTAAAAAGAATATTTCAAACAGCGGTACTAACAACCATCGTTGAATGACATAACCAATTTCAAAAGAGGTCTTACTTCACAAATGTTTTTGTAAGCCATGGAATTGGATAATTAATGTTTTATAAAGGGACATTCTTTTTATTCCTTTACTTTTTCGGTGGAACATAGGGTTGCTTCAAGCTAGAGCTTAGAAGTTTCAGTGGCAGGGGTGTTTATTCTCCTACGGGATGGGGTTTCTTCTTGCCTCATACCCGACCTTCTATCTTTACCAGTCTTATAACTGACTTAGTGAGGTTTGGGAGTGAGTCAGCGGGGGATGGAACCCTGAACCACCTGAGGCGCGGTTGGCAATCACTCTACCGCAGTGCTACCAACGCACACATAAAAGGATATAAATTTGCTAAAATATTGTCATGACTTTTAAACGAGGGTAGTGCCATCCAACCTACCCTTAAAAGTAATTTTGCACATAGTTGCAGGCAATATTTTCCGCACATCAACTTGCTAATATAGTATTATGCCATTGCAGTTTGTACTACAGAATTCCGACAAGAACAAGCTGGATTCAGGAAAGGCGAATCATCTTCTCACCGAATTGTAACTCTACGCATCATCATCACAGAACAAAGCATGGAATGGCAATCAAACCTCTACCCAAGCTTTATAGACTTCGAAAAGACCTTCGACAGCGTTGACCACGAAGTAATTTGGAAACTACTCGAGTACTACGGCGTACAGTGCCCCAAATATTCATCAACCTCATTCAACAGCTGCTCCATTACAACGGCACATGTCAAGTGATCCAAAACGGAAAACTCAGCAAGGCGTTTGGAGTAAAGACAGAAGTCATACAAGGGTGCTTATTATCACCAATGATATTCCTATTTGTGAGGGACTGACTAGATTATGCGTCAGACAGTGGGAAACGAGCAGACAGGATTATCCTGTGAAGAACCTAGAAGACCTGGATTTCGAGTGTTGATGATTTATGCTTGATGTCACACACAATCGAAGACTTACAAGCGAAAATCGACCGAGAAAATGGTCGAAGGCGTAGCCAGTGAAGAGTGCACTCCAGGTAAACATAGACAAGACGGAGGTGATGAAAATAACCAATCAACCAACCAACAACAACAACAGCAATATCCAGTGCCAATCACCATCGACGCGAGGGAGGGATTTGAAAGAGGTTACTTCATTCACTCACTTATCTAGCATTGAGCATTGTCTCAACTACAGGCATTCGGAACGGACGAGAATATCAAATCGAGCGAGAATCGGGAAGGTGAGCAAGAAACACATTCATCCACCTGAAACCAATCTGGAAATCTTCGTCACTCAGCCAGCATCAAGAACAAAATTCGGTCAGATTTTCAATATAAACGTCGTCAAGTCAGTCATTTCTCCTATACAGATGAGGAACTTGGCTGGCGGGTCACAGAGAATATTTCCAACAGCCTGTTGCGGGCCTTTATCAACAACAACTGTGTTCGCTGTATCTATACTGAAGATCAGATGGCCAGATCGGAAACAATCACCAACAAGAAACTATGGCGGGGAACAAACAAACAAAACAAGAACAAAACAATCGCCAACCAACAGCAAATATGCAGAAGAAAGTGTAGATGGATGGATTGGACACTCACTCTCTGAGGAGGCCGGTTGGTGACATCGCGCTAGTCAGGCTATTGGTCGAGTGGAACCAGGCCGAAAGGGAAGCACGCGGCGAGTGGGACGTCAGTGCAAGTGTGGGTGACATGGAGGAGATCGTGTGAAGAGGAGTTGGTTGAAACAGTATGGACTAACATGGATGGATTCAGGTGAAAAGTACAGGAGAAGACAGAAGCAAGTGGAGACATGGAGTTGAAGCCCTATGTTCCCCTAGGAACCTAAGGGAACAATAATATAATATAATAACGGAGTGTACTACTGACAAGAATTTTATGAGTAGTATGTAGACTAACGTCGCTATCAAGAATTTTGAAAAATGGAGCAAAGGTTTAATTTGCAAAGAGGAGTATCCAACATGGTTATGATACAATATAGAAAGCTAGAATTGAAGACAAATTAATCAGAATACAAATAACTTTCGAGAATTGCGATTTCAGTGTCGAATTTCCATATTTTGACATTATTCCATTTCATTTTTGCAGATAAACAATTTAGCTATGAAATACGCATGCGTTCTGCCGTTACGTCTTTCTATTTGAATCAATTTTATCTCCTACAAGGCATCTACTGTATCCTACTGAATTCTCAGAACTAGTAGAAAATGCGCGTCGGTGGCGCAGAGGCAGGATGCCAACCTCGCCAGCCACTGAGATGGTTTGAAGTTTAATCGCCTCCCGACAGACCCTCAAACCTCGCTTAGCTATTAATAAGCCTCACGCTAAAGAGGGAACGTTTGGCGTGAGACTAGAAGTTCCCCCCTGTAATAATAAAACCACTGCTACCAAAAATGTAAGGCTCTAGGTTAAAGCCATATGTTCCACTGGGAACGCAAGAGGATAAAAAAAAATGGAAAATGCGTTTGAACTGTGCATATTTCATATGCTTTCTTGTTTGGTGGCTGAAGGAACTGGTTGGTTTTGTATTAATGCGGAAGTTAATTGGAGAAGACACGTCTGATGTGTGCTGCAGGAATAATATAGTGTCGAGCCAAAAAGTATGAGCTAAAAGGATCTCTGTGCTTAAACTCAAGTGTATATGCCACTGAGAGTTAAACACAGTTGATCAACACTTTTACGCTTTGATGTAAAACATCAGTGATTACATTTTAACAAAAAGATCAAATTTTGGTATTTTTAATGAAATAATGAAGATGAGGCAGTAACTTATCGAAGAAGACATTGCGAAGTGGTCGCGCTATGTCGTGAGCTGGCAGAAGTTAGAATTCAAGGACCATTGGATCGGGTCCCAGTGGCTCAATGGTCTACGAGCTCGCCTTGTAACCAGAAGGTCCCAGGATGGAATCCCGGTGGGTGCGTACTGCTGGAGAGTCCCAAACTGGTGGCACGAAACAGCTGTCCAGTACTCCCAGGTTTTCCAGTGGTTCTCTAACTGATGTCAGCTCATGATTAAATCCTCCATGAAATAATGAATAAATTGGTTGCCATTTGTCGAAAATTATATTATCTTACAATCTTCGCAAGTAGGCATACAGTAATACATGTAACCTTGATAGGTATGTATTATAGCATACAAGCAAGCAAGTCAAAAGATGACCTGGTGTTTAGATTACTTCTTTCTGACTGTTTAGCACTGCTGGTTAATGTGGATTGCGTCCAGCTACTCATGTACTACTCATGCAGGTGTACTTTCTTTATTGTTATCTATGGTATCAAGCAGGTCATATACTTTGATCTGAACTACTCTCACACACAGCTAACTAGCCAGGATTCGGTTGTCTGTGTTGAGTCGAACTGGGTAAATCGCTAGCGATTTCATTATTGGTTACAGGAATTCACCATGAGCTGATATTAGTTAGAGAACCATTGGAAAACCACCGTGGAGTACTGAACCGCTGTTTCGTCCAACTAGTTTGGGACTCTTCATCAGTACTCATCCACCCATCAGGGTTCGAACCCAAAACCTTCTGGTTACAAGGCTGTCAAGCTCGTAGACCATTGAGCCTCTGGGAACTGATTCAATGGCCAGCCCATGAATTCTAACTTCTGCCGATTCACGACATAGCGCGACCGCTAGCCAATGTCTTCGGCTAGTATATCTCCTCATACCCGACCTGCTGCACCCTACTGGTCACAACTTCTCACTAGAACCCCAGGTAACTAACTACCTGCCTGAATAGGGGAAGTCGCCAGTGTTCATCTTATATATATTCAAGTGTTGGTTTGTAAGAATTTGATTGATTGGTTACAGGACTTCATCATGAGCTGAGA